TTGGACTCAGTGAGCCCCCGAGTCCGTGCCTTTGTGATGCAGGCCTCAATACCGGCCTGGGATTGGGAGCAGGCTTTGGTTCGCCACATACAAGACGCCATTATGAACATATGGAGTGTCAACCAGCGGAAACCCACGTCGGATGAACGCCTGATTGTCTTCAGTGACATCAATGTCTAAATAGCAGGAAAACAGGCCTATGTGCACAACGCTTTAGGGGGAGTCTGCGGCCTGGTGGCATTACAGCTAATCTGTTCAGTCATATAGTTTAACATGTTATACATCTCGTACATTTCCTGTTGTTTTACATGTCTAGCTAGACTACCACTTTACCTACACGCATACTTGCCTAAAGCTAGGACATGAAAGCCTGACAAGCTACTAATTATAAAATTGTGCACTTTTTCACATGTAAAAATAATAATAAAAAAAAAAAATTAAGGAAACCTTTTTTTATTTTTTTTTGATCTATTAGTCCTTTTCTTAATTTTGTACTTCAGTTGTTTAGTAGATAGTTCTCTAATTTATAAGCCTTAAGTCTGTCATTCCAACATTTGGATCGCAAATCAGGGAGCTATCTGTTAAACAACTGAAAGAACGATATTAAAGGGAAACTATAGTGCCAGGAAAACAAAGCTGTGTGGCATTATAGGTTCCGACAGTTCCCCCTACCTCGCCCACCCCATCCTTTCCCCCCCGTCGCGGCACTGAAGGGGTTAAGTCACTTACCTGAATCCAGCACAGATGTCCCTTGGCACTGGGTCAGGCTCCGCCCATGTTCCGTGGCCATTGCCACCATGTGCGGCCCTAGCCTGCACAGCAAACCGCCGGGGGCCACACATTCAAGGGGCCCATTGAGTGGCCCATGCTGTTAGGGCCACCCAATGGGTATGGATTTCCAGGGGGCCCGGTCAGCACTGCAGCGCTTTAACAGTGCGACTGAGCCCCCTGTGATGAGATCACTGCTGGGAGGAAGTGACTGCCCTGGTCACTCCTCCCAGCTATGAGAGCCGCACGGGAGGAAGGAGAGGGAGGCAGAGTGGGAACTCTGACTCCCATCAACCTGAGCCACCACTGGACCCCCGGGAAAGTCACCCTCCTGCACCTAAAAAGTAGGAAACAGGAGGGTGACTTCAACATTTTGTGTGTGTGTCTGTGTGTGTGTCTGTGTGTGTGTAGGTATGTGTCTTTGTATGTGTGTCTTGTGTGCGTGTGTCTGTCTGTATTTATGTGTATTGTGCGTGTGTCTGTCTGTGTATGTGTCTGTATGTATTTGACTGCCTGTGTGTCTCTATGGATGTATGTGTGTATGTATGTGTCTCTGTATGTATGTGTGTGTCTGTCGGGGGGAACTGCAATGTTTTACCTTGTAGCACTAAGTGCAAAAGCTTTAATGAGCTGAAGTGGTCTGGGTGCCTGCAGTGTCCCTTTAAGAAAAGCAATAATACTAATAAATATACTAAATAATACTAAAAGCAAAAATAACTTCCAAACTTGTAAATAAGAAACTATAGAATATTATAGTCCATAGCGTTCAACGCTACATATATCTCTATTGTTACTTTTAATATAAAACGAGGTGAAAAAGAACTCAATTTCCATTGGGGTCAAAAATCAGTAACAAAATCCTTGTTGACTCCCCGATAATAGAAAACTAGCTATTACACTGCATATTAACTATTATCTAGAATCTATTCTGTTTCCAAAAAATTCTCCAGGCCTCTTTTTTTTTTTTAAAAAAAAGAAGAAAAAATCTACATAATCATAGAAAAATAAACAAATTCAAGTTTCCTAGCCTTTCTTCATGCCTAATTTTTTTTTTTGCTTATTCCCTTTTTAACATGCCCCTGCACTTTTTCTAGTTCCATAATATTGTTCTCTAAATCAGGTGTGCGAGATCACACCACACGTTGAAAGTATGGTACTGTTCCATTTTTATTAAGAAACAGGACATCTGTGTAGGCTTGAAGACTTTTACTTACAACATTAGAAAGGATTCTGCACAGCGAGTACAATAAATATATGCCTTTTCACAAGATATCTTTCTGATTGAAAATATTCAGGATATTTACTTAATATATTCCCACGTCACAGTTTTTATGGTTCTATTGTTTTTTTCTTTCTTACCTACGCAGTATGGCTAACTGAATGCCTAGTGAATCAAAATAAGTATATGTCAATGTGGTTTTTATATTTTATATTAAATATTATCAGTGAGAGTACATGAATTTAATATTTTGAATTTAAAGGGACACTCCAATCAATAAAACAACTTAATCTAAATTACGTTGTTATGGTGCCAGTAGGCCCCCGAGGCACTCTTACCTCAAGGGGTTAACCGATTCTCAAATGGTTAAACCTAAAAAGCTGCTTCCAGCGGCGATGTCCACTCCCTAAGCCAGTTATGCGAATGGGGAGTCATTGATTGACTGAGAACATCAGCTGACTGCTCTCAGGCATTAAGTAGTGCCCCTGCTCAGTGGCACTGCGCACTTTCTGAATCTTAAAATTCAGAAGCTGGATGCAGTCTGTGGGAGGGGGGTAGGGACAGGAGTGGACATGGCCACTGGAACTACCGTTGGATTACCTTTGGGGTAAGAGTGCATCTGGGGGCCTCCTGGCACCAAACCAACTTAATTTAGATAAAGTTGTTTTGGTGCTTGGGGTGTCCCTTTAAGACTGTTTTACCATTTTTGAGGTCACTTTGAAAAATCCGTGTGAAGGATAAATGCATTAGTGTTTTATTGGTGTTTTATACTATTATTTTTGTTTTATTATTTTGCTTATGAATAAAACTAGTTTTTTAATTGAATTTGGACCTTCCTGTTTTTATCTCTGAAGATCCTTAAAGGGACACTATAGTCACCTGAACAACTTTAGCTTAATGAAGCAGTTTTAGTGTATATAACATGCCCCTGCAGCCTCACTGCTCAATCCTCTGCCATTTAGGAGTTAAATCCCTTTGTTTATGAACCCTAGTCACACCTCCCTGCATGTGACTTGCACAGCCTTCCATAAACACTTCCTGTAAAGAGAGCTCTATTTAGGATTTCTTTATTGCAAGTTCTGCTTAATTAAGATTTTTTTTATCCCCTGCTATGTTAATAGCTTGCTAGACCCTGCAAGAGCCTCCTGTATGTGATTAAAGTTCAATTTAGAGATTGAGATACAATTATTTAAGGCAAATTACATCTGTTTGAAAGTGAAACCAGTTTTTTTTTTTTTCATGCAGGCTCTGTCAGCTCAGCCAGGGGAGGTGTGGCTAGGGCTGCATAAACAGAAACAAAGTGATTTAACTCCTAAATGACAGTGAATTGAGCAGTGAAATTGCAGGGTAATGATCGATACACTAAAACTGCTTTATTTAGCTAAAGTAATGTAGGTGACTATAGTGTTCCTTTAAAGGCTGCCCTTTTTGTGGTACAATCAAATGCTCCTAGATAAATAGATAAGCACTGTTTGACCTAGAGAGCAGGTGGGGCAAGTACATTCAACAATCAATTAATTTTAATAAAATTGCATTGAATCTAATGAACCTCCAAAAGAACCACTGACCATTACACCATGCACACTGTGTGTGCATTTGCAAGCTGACAGTTCACCTCTCCGCTAATGCCCAATCCAAGAGCTTAGGAGTTGGGGGATGGTGGAAGGCACAGAGAGATGGAAAGGGACTTGGAGAGAGTGGATTGGGCAGTATATTAGATATGCATGTGTGTGTGGTTTATGCATTTATGAGAACCTAGGTGAGTTCACTGATAGCTCCTCTCACTGATAATACCAATCAACATGCCAATCCAAGAACAGGGAAGGGACAGTGGAAGGCACCAATGGAAGGGCAGAGACTTGGATGGGCTGGATTAGGCAGTGTATTAAAATATGTGCTCACATAGTCCTAAAGGCTTCACATTGCACGCGTGCTCCCCAAATTGCCTACAAGGGAAGAGATCGATTATGTCCATTGCGTGAACAGAATAATAAGTGAAGTAAGGGATCCACCTAAAAATAGATGGGACCCTCTCCACTAAGATAGCCTCCAGATCTTAAAATATCATTTAGTGGTATTAACCTTTATTAAAGACCCGAGTACAAAAGCAAAAAATACATACAAAAACTGTGTAAACCTACGTTGTATAAATCAAACAAAATAGTGGCACACCTTTAAAAGCTGGAGGGGAGGAGACTCCATAGGCATGTACAGAGGTTATTCGTATAAACGTAATCTGTATCCTATATGGAATCGGCATATAAGGAGAAACCTCTCATGTAGGTATATACTGACTAGTCAGGCCCAAACGTTAGGAGATAGTGGGAAAAATCAGGCAGTAGCGAGTGAAGAACACTAAGAGGTAAATTTGTATCGACACAGTTGTAAGGGATTCAAGCATAGATAAACATTGTAGACGTTTAAGCTCTGTAAAAAATAAACAAGAGCAACACTTCTAAGTTGGAAACAACTGAAAAACATTAAGGCAGCATAGATAGACGAGAGTGATCAGTCAATGATCCTTGACTAGTGGTGGGACCAATATAGATCGTGGTTAACTCTCATTACTTATCCTGACTCAGTATAACGGGTAGCTAGATAGTAGTATAGATCTTCTATGCTGTCTGTAAGAGATACTGCCGTCTCAGCATACAGAGACTATGAACACGGTCTATACACACAGCTAAGAAAACTACTACTAACACAAAACACAGGATAACACAATACACAGGAGAACTGCCTAATGGTGCAACCTGAGGCTAAAAATACTGTCTGTTCACACAGCGCAAAGGCTGTTGCTAACTTTGTTGGAATACAGTACTGTCTAGAGGTGCAGCCAGAGGCTGTAAATGATGTCTACAAGCACAGTCTAATAACTGCTGCTTCGAGGCAGAGGCAGCCTGTCTGATAGTTCTCAAACTAACTATTTACAGTTGATCGTAGAGACACCTCAGAGCCATGTCTACCCAGAGAACCCCCGCCCAATGCGAAGCGCATTTCGGCGTAGATATGCACCTTAGAATTACATCCAATCAAAGTTTGTAAACAGTTGGGAGGCAGACTGTGGGAGGGTCTATTCATCCCTTCTTAAATATCCAATCCCTGAGAGGCATGGGCTGCCTCCCAACTATTTACAAACTTGGATTGGATGTAATTCTAATGAGGGAGAATTTTCACCTCCCTTTTAACAGACATGATCCAGATGCCTGAAAGCTCTTGACAAAGGCGTATATCTATGGCGAAACGTGCGTCGAGCGAGTTTCTTGACGATGCTCTACCTTTGGTTTTAACAATTTGACCGCGCAGGCGGGGGGGCATCAATTTCAAAACACCTTACAACTCACCCGTGTTGAATATATCCTGAAGTAGGGATTGTACCACTACACACTGTTTCACTTAGAGCTGGTTTATACTTTGAATATTGCAATGAGATTCACTTATTTATACGTTGTGTTTTTATACGCACCTGAATATACTACACTATTGTTTGTCTTTTCTTTTGCTTTTTATGTACCGTTAATCTGCCCAATCTTCAAAGAAGTTACATCACCAAGTCATGGTTTAAAATTTTGTACTGTGTCCTCTGATATTTTTCAAAAACTTTTAATGGACAATTGGTGCATCCTGTACCTTTGTGTTTTTTCATCTACTGTAAGATTCTTTAGTTTTTTGGGGGGGAGAATACCCCTTTTCAGCGATTGCAGCCTGAGATAATCTAGTAAATCATTGCCTAGCGCTGATCCTTTTTTGTACTTGTATATTCACCTGTTGTATTCTTAACGCCATAATGTTGCTTTAATAAGTACATTAATGCAGTAATAATATGGCACATATCACGTGAGGTCAGTGAAGATGAAACCAGACATAGATGAGTTTAAAAGATGATAATAAAGTTTTACATTTGTATGGGAGTGCACAGTGCCAATAAAATACAGTTAATATGCACAAATACCTTTTGAGACAGAAAATTCTAGACAATTCTAGGGATCAGAAACCCACAAGGGAACCAGAGATTTATATTATACATCATCTTCAAATGTTTTTCTATTTATTTCCTTCCTTGATCTTTTGCAGTATTCATTTCTTAATGACATTTCATTCTAATGATTGAAGGATGATATGTACAACTCGGAGTTCTAGCTGTTGTGCCAAAAGACTTTAGATGTTTATCGCATAATTCTTAATTTCTTGTCCATCATTGTGTCTGTTGGCTGCAAGGCGTGCGAGAACTTTTTATTTGTGTTTATACTTTTTTGTTCTGATAAAAATTTCTAATAAAAAGTGAATTGAAAAAAAAACCTTGTAAACCACAAAAGAAAAAAATGCATTGGGTTTTCTTTCTTGTGTGTGCAGTTTCCAATGAAACTGGTGGTATCTCATGAAACTGAAAGCAGGAAGTCAAGGGTCATAAAACAATCCTTTGGTATCCATGAACAAACACTTTGGAGAGTAAGAGACCAAACACTTGATGATACTTTATGCAGAGAGAGCTGGCAATCTTTGGCCTGAGGTGTAAATGCAAACTAGATGGATGATCCTAGCCACACTGTGTTTACAATATATAAATATAGATTGACAGATGGAGGCTTCTGGAGTCTCTAGACATGACATTGTATATCCTGGCATATCAGTATGACATGGGAGTGTTCACAGAAATCTGTGCATGTTTTAGTGAGCAACGCTTGGCTCTATTAAATTACCATAGTCTGGCAGGTTATTCTCAGATACTTATATCTCCTGTAAAACAATGTTTTGGGCCACTCTAGCTCTGAAGAGCATTGAGATTGTGAGCGTCTAGCCCAAGCACAAACCATATATGCTGAACGTATAAAGACCCTGCGCAATTCCTACTTGACTTGGAGATTTGTTTGTTTCCAAACTGCAATTTGAAGCTCCAAGTTGAAATGTGTCCGAATTACAAACCAACTAAAACGCACTATGGCCGAGCATGTTCTTTTCAAGTCATGATTCCAAATTTTCTCAGATGACTGATGGGGTAAACACATGATTGGCTGGGGGAAGCCACTAAAAGTTTATTTTATTCTATTCACAGATCAAGTGAGAAGTGACCAATCAAGGGATAAAAAAGAGGAGCAGTAAAAAAACTATCTTTATATATGCATATATTATATATTTAATAAATATATTAAATATAAACGTATAAATATATTTTTTTTTTTTTTAACTGCTCCTTCATTTTTTTTCCTCTTATATTTACTTTTTCTCCCTTGATCTGTGAACTAAATGGAGGGGAAATGTGCTTGTTAGTGTACTGAAAGATATATACATAATATTATATTACATATATATTTTGCAGAACACTGATTGGTTCATTTTAGTTGCCCTTTTGGTTCATCCAATTCGGTTCCCAAACATGGTTTTTGGTACCGAAATTCTGCCAAACCAGGCATCCAGAAAATGTTTGTGTTCTTTTGAAAATAATTTGGTCAAGCTGTGCACAAGTTTAATACCTGCTGACTGCCTCACTTTGTGCTCTGAGGGTGCATCCCACAAACCCTGTATGTTAGTGGCCCAACTGCACCCCTGTTCCTCTAGTATTGGAATAGTCTTAGAGGCAAAAAAGGCAAAGGATCTAGTGTGAGAAGAGATCTTAATAGATTCCATGCCTAACTTTTGTAAAATTATATATTAGTACTGAAGTGAATGATTTTGTTGCTATTAAAACTCTTGGTGTCCTGCAAAATGTCAACAATGCCCAGATAATATATAAATGGGCTAAATGCCTTAATCTTTATGACAACAAACAGTGCAGTAGTGACCTAGAGCTTGGTTAGGGCTTTATGAACATAGCACTATTACATTGAATTCAAGTTTAACTTCTGAACTTGCCGATCAACTGCAGGATTCCAATTCCATTGATATTTTTCATCTTCCTATCGTTTAGTTCCTGTAGTGCTGTAAGCAGGATTGGGCTTCCTCCTACAGCCTTTTTTTTATAGTATTGGCAGGGGTAACTAATCTGTCATCGTAACCCAGATTCCCTAATATTTACTAGTCCAGGCTGTCTCCTGCTGGATCCTGGATTGAACAAACATATTTAGTCTTATGTCATGAGGGTGAACACAATTATTACACAATGAATTATCATTGTCCACTTCAAGTTAAAAATTTCAGACTACAACACCATTACACTGTGCCAAAACTGGGCTACTTTATGATTAAGTCTACACCTGATATGATTCAGAAGCCATGGGTGACTCTTCAACATTGGAACTGTGGAAGTCGCAATCTGAGTAGGACTCATAGGGAGCTACCAATATCACAGCCAAAACATCAGGTGCCTTGAGACAGCCATATAGCCTGCCCTGTCGTGGTTGTCTATAGACCATGCAATGCAAATTCCTCCACCTTGGCCAGAACTGAACTCAGAACTGGTGAAATGAGTTAAAAGCCTTCTATCCAGATGGATAGAAGATATTGGTATGGACCTTTCCTCCAGGATGTCAAGAAACAAAAAGGAGAATACAAATAATACCTGTAACGCAAAGCATTTATTGAAAGCTCCCTCCAAGTTGTATTAATCTCATAACTAACAGTCATCATCCTTTATTCAACTCAACCACCAATCAACCAAGTTTTACAGCCCATGTCTTCTTTCACAACATACAAAAGTACAATAATGTTACTGCACTTCAAAATACGATTCGTACACCATGTATTTGCAGTACTCACATGATTTTATTCATTCCAAAAAATGATCTATTAAACTTGCCGCCATAATTAGTACATTTTGCTTCTAGAAAAGATGGATCTTTTAAACACATTACTGCCATTAGCGTTCTTTATACATGGGAGGGATTGACCTATTTGTGACACTAGAAGATGCTTCACGTTACTGTGTGGGTGGGTATAATGGGATTTTTCCCAGAAATCTGGCAGTTTTTGGGACTGCATTCTCCGGCAGATAGGACAGTTTTAATACTTTAATATATTAAAGATTTTATAGCAAGACATTAAAATATTTAAATAGACACAGAAATTGTTATGTTCCTGTGTCCTCTGCTCACTCCAAAAGCATGAAGATCTAGTTACAGCTATCTCTGCTAAGTTTGTATCCAATAAATATTAAGTAGATATCTTCACCCTTTCATATCTCCATAAACCTGTAAGGTATCGCACTTTGTTTATTGTACGGAATACATAGTTGTTGAGCCTGTGCCAGATGAATGTGTACCACTCAACATAATAGGATTCAATTTATGGCACTTGTGACTCAGTGGATATGCTTGCCGTCTTGACGAGCAGCCAGTCAGGGCCGAACATGTGCAAAATAATCTCTAATGCCCTAGAGTAGATGTAAGTAACCTTTGGCACTCTAGATGTTGTGGACTACATCTCCCATAGTGCTCTTACATCCATAATGCTTGGATAGCATCAGGAATAGTCCACAACATTTGGAGTGCCAAAGGTTGCCTACCCCTGCTCTAGAACATCCTCAACTTTGTGTGGACATCTGTCTGGTGTTCGCACTGTGTATTACATTTTATCCAACATTTTGATAATCAGCAGATTATTTTATACCATGCATTGTGTAAATGTGCCATGGTAATCTGAAGTGTTGTTTATAATACATTATAAAAGAAACAATACTCTCAGAGTATAAATCCTATGCCAAGAGATCACGAAACACTTTGAGCGTGTCTTGATAATAATCTGCAGTCAAGTCAAACTCACCTTTGTCAGCACATAAAATCCAGCACTGTCTCAGCCTGTCTTCGTATTCCGCAACTCTTAATTGGCATTTACCTCCATTTTATTGATATCCAGTCCTTTTTAACTATGCCTAGAATCCATGAGGTTAGCTTTATAATGGATAAAAACTCACTATTGAAACCTATCATGATAATTTATTCTTATTTAACAATAAACTAATAGTTAAACCTGTCTTCTTTGTTAAGGTCTTGAGTTATAAATTGCATATATATCTCATGATGTCCCAGGAAAGGTTTATTTCAGAACTGTCTATATAAACACAATTCTTCCCTTGGTATGTGAGTCATGTTGGAACATGTGTATATAATAAGCAGAACATAATTTATTCCAGACAAAGGAAGGTACTCACAGTATCCTGACTGCACATTATCAGGACAGGCTCAGAAAGTGCTGGTGTTTTATCAGATGCAGGAACGATTGTCTTACAGGGA